CCAAACTTGACATGTGTTACCTCCACAAAAAATATAAAGTATAAATCAAGTTAAAGTTCCTAAAATCACAGAATCATAGGATGGTTTGGGTTGGAAGGGACCATAAAGATCAATTAGTTCCAACACCGCTGCCATGGACAGGGATACCTTCCACTAGACCAGGTTGCTCAGAGCCAAATCCAACCTGATGCTAAATACACGTTGGGAGCATCCACAACTTCTCAGGCCAATGTATTCCAGTGCCTCATCACCTTCATAGCAAAGAATTTTTTGCCTACTATCTAATCTAGACCTGCTCTCTTTCACTTAGAAGGCATTCCCCCTTGTTCTGTCACTACATGCCTTTGTAAAATATCTCTATCCAGGTTTCTTATAGGCTCCATTCTGGTACTTAGCTAGCACACTGTCTAACCTAAACATATAATTAGATATGTCTATAAACAGAGATTACCTGAGCTTGAAATGAGCTGTCTGGCCATATTGTCTCTCTGAAAGGCAGCCCCTAAACAAACTTATGACACTGTTAGTTGTTTAAGCTAAATAAAACATTTAGAACTGAAAATATTGCAGTCAACATAAGCTAAATCTATTCCACATTTGCCAATTCTTTTAAATTACACATGGCAGTAACAAATACCCAAGAATAGGCAACTTCCAGGTTGTTGCTGGGCATCAGTGGTTGTGGGATGATCACACAACTATCACTTGTGGGTTGTACAGCATGCATCTCTGGCAGTGCAGCACATTCAGTGTTTTAAGAGAATCCAAGTGGAGGCTGTACAAATCTATAAAAACCAATTATGTCAACAGTAAACTATTTGGATTTTCATAGCTAATATGTTTGGTAATCTTCCTATGAAGCTGACTTTTTTTGTACTTAAAACTTCAGCAGGTAGGTCTTCCACCAACAGTTGCTTTGCCTCTCCATTTTCTCTGGCTCATGTAGGCTGCTGTTCTTAAGTTTGATCAGAGCAGTACCAGCACAGCACTGAGTTGAACACACCATCATGGTGCGGGAAAAACCAAACCAACTACAAAACCCCCCAAGGTGCCAAGCAGGCTTGAACTTCTGTACTTTGTGTATGTCATGTGCTGGGTACTCACATCTGTGTTTCTCCAAAGCCTGCGCAATCACTTCTTTGAGGAGGAAGCTTGTGCACACAAACACGTGGAATACTCACAGCAGACGGAGCATTTCACTTTGTGAGCTAATCTGGAGCACTGCATGGAGGGGAACTGACTCAAACTACCTCTTAGCTGCAAGTTTACTTCCTCTCTTATGAACAGTCTGAGAGAACTGGGGTTGTTTAGCTGAAGGAGAGAAGGCTTCAGGGAGACCTTATATCAGCCTTCCAGTGCCTAAAGGGGGCTTATAAGCAATGTAGAGAGTGACCTTTTCCCGAGACCTGTAAGAACAAACCAAGGGGCAGCAGTTTCTAACTGAAAGAGGGTTGATTTAGATTAGACAGAAGGAGGGCATTTGTTACTGTAAGGGTGGTGAGACACTGGAAGAGGTTGCCCAGAGAAGTTGTGTATGCTCCATCCCTGGAAGTGTTCAAGGCAGGCTGGACGGGGTTCTGAGCAATCTGGTCTATTGGAAGTGGGCCAGTGGGTTGGAAGGAGATGATCTTTAAATTCCCTTCCAAACCACTGCGCAATTCTGTGATTCTAGAACCCACTTTCAGGAGGTTAAAACATTCTTATAGAGGAAAAACTCAGATACAGCAAAACAAAACAGTTTTTTTACTGAACTACAGTGCTCCAGCCTAGGATGTATAAAAAAAAAGTGTTTTGCCTCCGTTTGACCAAATCTTTTGCTACAAAGTATCCCGTTTGCTTCCTACACTTTCCTGTTTGAAAACATGCTGAACTGTAATGTGGTCCTGATCCTGGAGAAGGTAAATGAGATTATATTCCACTTCTGTAGGTAATAGTACATACAGATATAGTGAAGTCAACATAGCGATGTGAGTTGACACCAATTATTTGCTCAGAGTGTATCAACCCAATCAGCCGAACTTGTTCACACTGTACATGACTGGGCTTGTCCATGGCTGCCAGAAATAGAAAATCAGGAAACAGCAAGCAGTAAACAGGACCTTGACACGGAAGGTGTCAGATTGCTGCCAGAGGAGAAGCTGAGGGGTCACTGCCAATGTGCCAACAGCACCCCAGTGCAGGCAGAATCTGCCCCTGTAACTGCATAGGGACCAGCAGCCCCCCCAGAGGTGGCCACCTGCCCCCACTGACCGTGAGTGGGGGTCTGGTCCCACAGCTATGCAGCGCACAGTGGTGCAAGACATACTGGACAAGGGGAAGAAGTAACATCACTGCTCCCTATGACCTGTGAGCAGAGAAGCAAAAACAGGCAGGGGTACTTTCCCACTGTGATGTGGGCAAGAAGGTGACTAAGCCAAAGCAGGCAGCTCAGCAGCTCTGCCAGTCCTATGGACACTGAGGAACTTCTGGCTCCTTTTGTGGCCCCCACAAGACTTGAAGCCTTGTTGGGGTTGTCAAGGGCCAATGACAACCTCAGTCTTGCACCATCAGTACCCGTGAGGGGCAGGAAGCAGAATGGATGCGTCCCAACTAGCCTGGCACAGATCCTCACTCGTTCACCCTACCATCCCTCCCTCCCCCATGGCTCACAGCCTGGCTCAGCCATCACCTCGGGCACAGGCAGGCCTATAGCTTACATTCACTCAGCATTGCCAAAAATAACATTTCCTATCCAATCACCAGACATAACAGGGAGAGAGAGGGGGGAAAATCAACATTTGTAAAATGAGTTTCCCCTCCAAGGCAGAATAGGCAGAGTCCGTGGTCCATGCCTTCACCTGCCTTCACTTCTCCTTGCAGGGAGGGTTTCCCTTGGCTTCAGCAGCACCACCACATGCCCAGCTCCAGGCCACGCAGCAAGGTTATTAATGGGGAAAGCGACCTCACAGTGATGGAGAAAAATGTGCTGCAGCCAGTGGGGTGCAGAAGTGCTGGCACTGAATCAGTGCATGGCACAGTCACTCTCAGTGCTGGCCCAGCATGACTAGTGGCCCAGCCCACAGCTGCTGTGCTACATCAGCTGCTAGGCTGTGTGGCTGTTAAGGCAACAAGAGTTAGAACAAGTGTGCTTCTGCGTAGTTCTTGTGCTGCCAGTCCCTACCCTGCAGCTTCACTGCTCTTCCCCATCAGTAGGTGATGATTAATTATTTCAGTAAAATTATGTAGGATGGAAGGTGAGGGAAGAGGGGCAAAAAGATGTCTTTACCAGTGCTGGGATATCAGGATCTATCTGCAGAAGCAACATGGAAATTAATGAATTCATGTTAGGATACAGGCCATATTGCATTGCTTCTCTATGCTCTTAAAACAAAAAACAAACCCTAAATAAACAAAGAACAAAACCGCAAAAAAAAAAACCTTAGCACCACTAAACAGAAAAAAACATTCTGTGCAATTTCAGTGTTGAGGGTTGAATTGTGCTCTCTAATAATGCTTGCAGACATGCATAGGCACCACTGCAGTAGATAGAGCATCAACACTGGGCTGTAAAAATGGAGCTCAGCTATATCAGTTTAAATTACTAGTACATTTAAAAAAAACTCCAAACATCCTACATCAAATTCCAGAATCTTTCAAGTTTTTCTTGAAGGCAGAATCTGATTCAGAAAGTGATAAAGAAGCAGAGCTAGCATGCACACTGAGCAATCCAGATCTCCTCCTGACCTCTCATCAATAGCTCCCATGTATTATGCAATTTCCCAAGTGTAACTGTGCAACCCCACGATCTCACAGGTTGGTAGAGTGACAACCCATCATAACCCAGACATTTCTCGAGAACAATAGCCAACAACACTAAAAAGCCACAACATCATGCCAGACAAGTGTAGCTCTAAGGGCAAAAGCAGAGCACACAAGACTGTGTCATCTCTTTTGGTAAAAACACCCAAGTTGGAGTTTTTAGAAATACTGTAGGAATTCCTTAAGATCTGATATGAATAAAGCATTTCCCAAAAAGCCTGACCTTGTAATCAGTACGTGCTGCTGGTTCAGACATCAACAGAGGCAGCAAAGCCAGTGCTGAATCTCTCACAGGCATGTCAGCAGATCATTTTGGTCACAGACAAGACTGAGGTTGTGGCCTCCTTGCCTTTTTCCTGTCCTGAGGGAAGACTAGATACTGTCCCTAGAATTTTGTTAATAGCTAAAAGCTTTCTAATTCTACTCATTTTTATATACCACAGCTCAGATGCTGTCCAGTCTCTGACAGACTGGTAGGTATTAAAAAACTGCAAACCCAAAATATGACATCCTTCAGCAGTGCCTGCAGCAATAGGAAAAGGGACAATGATTTTAAACCATGAGAGTGTAGATGCAGACTAGATATAAGGAAGACTTTTTTTTTTTTTTGCAGTGATGGTGGTAAAATGCTGGAACAGGATGTCCAGAGAGGTAGTAGATGCCCCACCCCTGAAAACATTCAAGTTTAGATTGGACAGAGCTCTGAGCAACCTGATTGAGTTGAAGACATCCCTGTACAATGCATGGAGGATTGGACTAGATTATGTTTTAAGGTTCCTTCCAACCCAAACTATTCTATGATTCTATTATTTAATGTTCAGTGTTTTTTCTCTCGAGTTTTTCTTCCCCACTACATGTGTACTGTGAATTTAACTTAAGAGCAGAAAATAAAGCTACTACTTTGCAGCAATTTGCTCAAGAGGATGTACTTTTGGAAAATAATGCCTTAAATATACTTAGTAATAATTTAACTCATTATTCATTTAGGAATTGTCTCCCCATGCACTAACTGTGATTTGGGTGGGACAGAGAAAGGCAGTGACAAAGCATAAGAAAACTAACCCTTTAGTTTTAGAAAATTACACCAGAAGCATTCAAAGGAAGGTGAAAGAATCCCCACACAAGAAACTGAAGAACTGAAAATCTGCAACCTGCATCTTTGAGATTTATTGTTTGGGACGAGTAGGGGGTTTTTTTGGGGGGGGGGAGGAGGGGGCTGTGTTTAAAGACTAGAAGTTCTTCACTCTAGTCATAGCTCCTGGGTCACTGCATGCATTCTTTGTAGCCAAGAGCTGTAGGAGCTGTATTAAGCCCCTCCTTTTTACTGCAGTCAGGAGAGAAACCATGTACCTCATTATTGCTCCTTCACACGCTTTTTACTCCACAAAAGAGAGTTTGTCTTCCCTGCATTAGTTCCACATCAGAACACACCCGTCTTCACTTCCCTCCAGGTAGAGGTAATTACTACTCCAGGTAGTAATGTCATGCATAGCTGATAAAAATCAAAGCTGCAGCTCTGCAGCTTGAAAAGGAGTGGGAAGGGAGATAGAACACAGGTACTCACAGGTATACCTACAGGCACTAGAAAGAGGTCTTTACAAAAATGCAGACAAAATAGGCTGCTTTCTTTCCCAAAAAACACTTTGCTATCTACATTAAAAAGAAACATAAGACAAAAATGAACCAAAAAAACTTCCTCCTGCAAATCGCAATTAGAGCAGCAAGAGCTGTGATGCTGCTTGTTAATACATGGAAGGCCACTATGGAAGGAGAATTGCCATTAATAAAGTCTCCAAATGAATAGTACAGATCCACAGTGATTTTAATAGTTCAGTTTCTGAATTGTACACTGTCATGTCTGACATAAAAAGACTGTAATTGACTTATTAGCTACAAATATAAATTATACCTGGATTTTCTATTTTTAATCTTAAGAATAAAAAAGTACCATGTGTTCAATCTTCCAAAGTTAGAATCATAAGGGGAAAAATGATAATTATATGAAAGTTGTCAAGAGTACACAAACAGATCATTTATATGCAACATGAAATGACAAGTCACTAAAAGTCAGACTCTTTCAAAACTGTCCAAATGATTGTCACTACCAATTGTACTAACACACCATTTGTCTTCAGAGCCCATAGAAACTGGCAAGTCTTACTCCATAATTTCACTTGCATTCCCATTTTTATACAGAGAGCTTCCCAGAAGCTTTTAATGGTCAGAAGATTTTTTTGTTGGGTTGGTTTTGGTTTCTTTTTGGATACACCATTTTAGTCTATTTATTTATGCTTTGACTTTTCCTTTCTGGTGAGCTGCAAGCACTTCTTACTCCTCATTTTGCTGGAGCGAACAATCCCTCCCCTTTTCTTACATCACGTAAACGGGTCAGGCACAACAACCTGACTTTGTCCTTTTTGCTGGCTTGTAGTCCGTGATGTCTACAGTTTGGGTTGGCCCCTCAGCCTTCTGCCGAGCAATTATTGGGACTACCATCTCAAACACAGTTTCAAAGAGGTAGTCCACCTTGTATCCTGTTTTTGCACTGGTCTCAAAACACATTTTCTCAGCTGCTGGAACATCCTTCTCATCTAGCATTTTGTATTTCAGTATCTTTTTGTAGAGCGCAATCGCATCCTCTGCACGGACTTGTTTTCGCACCTTCGAGCCACAGCTGGCAACAGACTTCTCAGGTCTATTTTCATCTGGTGGTAAAGTACAGTCATCACTGAGGTCAACTTTATTTCCAACAATAGCAAAAATGCAGTCAGCACTTGCACTGTCTGTCAGTGCCAAGAATCTTTCTTCCAGCTCTGTCAGGCTTTGGAAGCTGTTCACATCGTACGTGAGGATCACAGCAGCTGCTCCTCTGCAGTACATAGACCCAAGGCCATGGAACTGCTCCCGTCCTGGCAAAGGTTTAAACACAACAAAAAGTTAGTGTGCTGGAAGCCACATTATTAACCAAGTAAAAGAGTTTAAGGAATTTTAAGCCAATTTCAAAACCCTGTGCGAAGCAGTGAAGGTAAAAATGTGTTATTTGTAGCATTTTCAGGTTTTTCCTTCTGCTTTTCCTTAAGAGAGGAGCAGTGCCACAGAATAACTCTACACACCGCTTGCTCAATCTCAGAGCAGGGAGTCTGGAAAGACAAGTGAGCAATCAAGCTCACACAGGATTCACACTAGGTGAAAGCAAAAAGAACTGTTTTGTTTTTTTTTTTTATTAAATTGCATACTAGTTGACTTATGTCATATTAACTGCTACTCTGCTTGGGCTCACAGATGGCCCATCCACCTATTTAACCATTTATAAACAGAAGTGTACTGCTTCAAATTCTGCTAGAATTTATTACTTCTATAAATTCAGTACACATTTTCAAGTACATCCCGTTCAGAAATCTGGATCAAAATCAGTAACCAACCTCTTCTAGATTTTGAGGGATTTTGTAAGCTATTTAATCAGACTAAACTGTAACTGCTACATGCCCACAGTTCTCAGGTACATTGGTTTTACAGGAAAAGACTCTTGTTGGGGGTATAGAGCCAGTATTGATATGCATCTGTCCCACCACAAGTATTCATGCTTTTTTACAGTATTAAACACACATAATGTAGAAAACCCTAAACACATTCTACAAGTAATTTGTCTTTTAAGTTGCCCTGGCCATCGCTCAATAACCAACGGCTAAAACGTTTCTTCCTCATCATTTAGCAAGTATCTTCCAGCACTTCTGATGAAGCCTTGATGGTATCCTTCAAGTTCATTTCTTGGAAGACAAAACTGACTCTTCTTTAAATTCTGAGAAGCAAAAATGTTCTTTAGTATTTGTAATGGGACTAAGGGAAATAAGGCAGAAGACACACTGTGTTACCACTGAGAACTGCTACTTTCCCCCAATACCTGCTACATGTAGAATATGCTGTAGTTCACTTTACACCCCAAAACCCAATCAAGCAATAGATAAAACACACTAGGTTTCAACCAGTCATCAGCATCAGCCTTAGGTCACTAGAGAAGTGTGAATGAACAAACAAAAAAAAAAAAAGAGAGAGGAAAAAAAAGGCAACTACACTCTCTTGTCATACAATCTCTTTGCACAGAACCTCAGTTTATAGAAATTCTGGAAGACACCTGCTTACATTCATCTTCTGCACAAAGCTACTGACCACCATGAGTTACAATATCATGAAATCCTTGTAAATGACTGTGGAATAGGAAAGGGAGAAGAAATTCATGCTGAAAAATGTGGGTCAGCACACATTGAAAAAACACATCTGCACATGAACATGCACACTGTGAAAGGAACTCAGAATCTACTTCAGCTGGGAACATAATCATCACTGCAATAAATCCTTCAACAAATGTCAGAACTCTACTCCACAAGTGCCAAAAGAGAGACAAAATGTTCATTGTTATTCATAAAACAAAACTGGAAAACGTCAAGATAGAACATGAAATCCAAAGCTCACTTCACCTTTAACACTCAGTGAAACTCTGGTAACAGCCAGAGAAATAGATTTGGAAAGGTGCAGAATTCACTATAAAGAGGTGTAAAAGGAAGGTGGTGAGAATGCACAGAACTATGTGAAACAGTTGCATGAGGAAAAATTGTGGGATCTCTCAGGCTGGTGAATGATTGAAAAAAAAGGTAGAAACAGATGTCTATAAATTCAGGCCTAATACTGAGAAAGTAACTGAGAAACAACTATTTACTCTTTCTCATTACATGGAAAATGAGAATTTCACATCAAAATCGTGCATGTAATTTAAATATTTTCCTGCAAAGTGAATAATTGGTAGTAGGTGTTGACATTGCAGAGGTCAAAAGTTCAATGAATGGCATTCAGAAAACCATTAGGCAAAGTTAGTGGAGAACTGCCTCTGTGCAACTTTGTGTAACTTCTGATTTGCTTTCCCCCAGCAAAAGAAATTCTTTAATGATCTGGTAGGTAGGAAAAAAGGAGGTAGTAAAAAAATAAACCAAACCAATAATTATACCTTTGTTTAGGTATGTTGGGTAAGGGCAAGGGAGACTGAGATACAGAGGAGGGAGGTCAGTGCTTTTGCAATTTTTCCTCCAATCTCATGTTTAAAGTTGCACTGCAACTGAGTCTTTAAATGTCTCCAATTTTCCAGTAAAAGTTTGTGCCATGACTGATTTTGTTTTCATCCGAACCCTGATTATACTGTGGTCTGGAAATCACAACGGAACATATATCCTCCTCTGTTCTCCCACTTCAGATGCCTAAACCATAATATCCAGCCCCCAGAATCATTTGCTACAACAACCAAGTACTAGAACAATACTATTATTTGTTTTATGGAATTCATATGCTAATCTAATCTTGTACAGCAAGATTAAACCATGACACTTCTACGTGGTAACTACCAACTGATTACTTCTACAACTAATATATTGTTTAAAAGGGGAAAGAAACAGAAAGAATTTACTTTGCATAAGGGGTTAATTATGCCAGAGGAATAATGGATAGTGTCCCTCACTCACTCTCACAGAACAATCTACATGCAAAAAAGACTGCATAATGCACTTTTTCAGCAGTTTCCTTGCACAGACTACTTCTGACACTTAAGGACTGGAACAACTCTAAATTTGGAAAAAAACCCCAAACTACACTAAGTATTTAAACTAATATCTGTCCTCAAGGTGTCAGGCAAAATAGCATCAGACATTAGGTTGACAAACCTACCACATGAGAACAGCCATTGCCTTCTTATAGCCAGTTTTCTTTCCCTGGACACATCTGGTCCCACTTCAACCACATTCCTTTTTATATAATTAGCTAAATTAAATGGTAAACCCTGAGTCCAACAATCAAACAATTTCACCCTTTAAAAAAAAAAAAATAAAGGTAGCGGTAAGAGTGGCAGAACTGTCAAATAATTTGCAGTCAAAGAACCACCAAATCAACCACAAAGGCACAACATCAGGACATCAGGGAAATTTTTTAAAGCAAATCAACCAAAACTAATTTCCATTTTTCTTTTCATCCTTATATTTTGCCTTATTTACAGCAGTTTGACAACCCTACAGCTGTAGCCCCATCTGCAGCACCATTAGCTTTTCAGAGGCTCTTCCAGCAAGTATATGAAGTCTTGTTGGAGACTCCATCCACTCAGGAGCAGTGCAACCCTCGAGCATTTTCAAAGTCTTATGATGGTCATCATAAACAAATCAAAGAATTTTGAGCCAAATGGACCTCAGTACAAAGTTCGTAAGAAACCCAAGGGAGAAAGAAGGGAAAAGTAGAGTTGCTAGAGGCCTGCCTAATAAATAAGCAAGGCTAGATTTAAAATATGCTGAGACTTGAACTTGAAGCCTAGGCTTTGGTCTAGCCAGCCTCCTATAGCACCCCGACCTCTCAGCTGGAAGTCAGAAGCCCCTGTGAATGCTTTCTCTGGATGGGACCACAGCCTGACCAAGCATTCCCATCCCTTCCCAGCTGTGGGATCCACTCACATCAGTGCCTCAGTCTGCCTCATGGATTGGAGCTCTCCTCCTGCCCAGCCACCCCTGAGGGTGGTATGCAAAGTAGCCTGTGAAGTTGTGTGGATATTTACAAGAGCAAATGACTTCCTCCAGACAGATTTGAATGCTCCTTACCTCCTACCCCTTCAAAAGCTTTCACCACAACTTCTGAAGTGGCACAACTTCCCACACATGCACTCTTTCAAGAAAACTTCTACCAGAAGAACAAGTTTTAAATCTCTCAGTGTTGAGCACATACAAGAATGCAGAACAGGTTGTTTTAGTTTTGAGGAATAAAACACAACAAATACTACAGAGATAAAAAGGTCTTCCATCAAGTACTGAAAAAAGTAATGTTGCTACACTGATATCAGTCTGAGTGGAACCCTAAATTCTGAGTGCCTAAAGCAAATATGTAGCAGGGAAAAGTACACAAAGATGGGCTATAGAGGTACATTAACATTGCATTAAAATTGCACAAGAGTGCAAAATTATCCAGAAAGTTCTCAGTTCATAAATCAGGTATGTTCCAACAATTTTCACTGTGATTTTAACAGTATTGTAATCTGAACAGTAGAGAGGAATTAACACAAACACAAGGTACCAGCTAGGTTTTGCCTTTCAAATGCTTTCTCCTTTATAAAAGAGTCTGAACTTGAGTGTACATGGAGAGGGACAGGAACTATGCCCTAGGGAGTTAGCTAGAAGACGAAAGAAAAGAGAAAGTATGACACCCATGACACAGCACAGAAATCAGTACTAAAAAGAAATGAGCTTTGAGGATTCAGCTGCAGTAGATGAAGGTTCAAGGGGTGACCCTTATGCTCTTGAGTTACCTCAGCAGGAACATCCTCGTGATCACAAGAGTAGACAAAGAAGCTCCCTTTTGAAAAAGGGAACAACATTTCCTTCTGTTCCCAGATAATGCAGTAATGTTGTGACCCTTTAAAGGACATCAGGGGAAACAATTTTTCTGGGAACTGAGATTTCTGTTTGTGCACATATACTGAGATATGTACTGACTATTAAACAAACCATAAAGGTCCTTAAAGGTTTCAGGAAAATGCTACTCCCCACGCGTGAGTCAGGCTGTCAAGCTTTGACAGAATTAAGTCAGAGTTCTTTATTATCTTGTTCAAGGTTGATATTCATTTCTTGTACGTGACTTTATCACATTTCCCTTGAAGTAAGGAGCTTTCTAAAGAACTGGACTATGCCTGTGGTTACTTGGGGATAAAAATAAAGCTGTCCATCCCAAAGGATTAACATGGAGGACATAAGCAGGAATTAGTGGAAACATGAGTCAGAAAGCACTGGAGAATTCAATTTCTACATATCCATGAGCTGCCCAAATACATGACTTCCTGATCTGTCAGAAAAATGCCAACATTTGGTTTTCCTTCTAGACAAAATTCCCCATG